ATAGACATTATTTGCCACCTGTGACTTTCCCCCTCAGCCATCTGAAGAAGTGAGCAGAGCCACAGATTTTGTTAGTCTTTAAGGTGCTAGTGTACTCTTGCTCTTTTCTACTGCTACAGACAGACCAACACGGCTCCCCATCTTGAACTTTCCTCAGCCAGATAGGGACACTCAGCACACTGTAATGCTATTTGAAATCTTGTTCCAGAAGCATGTGTTCAAATCCCATTCCTGACCTGCGTTTGGGGCTCTGAAGGTGCAGATTTTCAGGTATCTTGTCAATGACTCTGGACTTCCCTGAGCAGTGTCAGAGTGGCTGAGAGGTGGTAGAGCTGCTGAGAGTGGCACAGTGTCAGAGAGGATGCAGGGTCTCCCAGGGACATGGGTTCCAATCCCACCCCAATGCTATTTTGCCCTCTGCTTTGGCAATGGACAAAGCCCCCTGGCCTGGCCTGCCACACTGATCTCTGGCTTGCTCCCACAATTCCCTTGCACTCATTTGGCCAGAAATTCCCTTTGCCTCCACCTGCCATCAGGCTGGCCAAGTGGTCCAAAACACTGCTGTTGGGCCCAGGCTCCGTCCACAGGTGTGGGCTTGAATCCCACTTCTAACACACTTTGGGGGAGACTTGGGAGGCATGGGTTTGCAGGCACATCCACTGGGGAGGGAGGCCCTGCAGCTCAGATGCTGTCAGGATGGCCGAGCAGTCCCAGGTGCTGTACTGCTGGTCACAGTAGACCACTAGAGGTGCGAGTTTGAATGTCATTCCTGATAAGCCTGTTGGGCTTCAAAGGAATGGGATGGCAGGCATTTTTGCCTGGAAGGTCCTCTGTCTGGGCTATCCTCAGGCTCACGGAGCAGTCCAAGTCACTGAATTTGATCACAGTATCCCTCCTGAGGCTGGTGTTCAGATCCCATTCTTTACATGCCTTTTAGGATCAACAGGTAAGGGACTGCAGGCTTAATGTCAGACTTCCCACAGCATCAACGAAGTACACACTTGTAGAAAGGTTTTACTTTATTTGAAGCTATAGGTGCATGGACAAAATCACTGTTCAGAATGAGTGGGGAGCAAAGAGCATGGCATGTTATAGTACATTCAAACTACTGCGGGGGCCTCGGGCCTGGGAGCAAACGCTTCTAGGCAACATATGTTATCTCTTTCTCACGGTGTTTTGTGAGAGCCTCCAGCAACTAACAAGCAACAGCAACCACCTGTGGCCTTGAGAGATATAAACGTTTCGGCAGGCTAAGTAATTATACGCATCAACAGATCTACATGTGAAAGTGAAAGCAAGCAAGCGCACACAGAAAGAATAAAAGAAAACATTGGCAGCTTGCTGACACTTTTCCACCAATGGCCCTGGGCTTTCCCTGTATGTCTCTCAGGGTTGCCAAGCACTTCAGGGGGTTACATTCCTGTATCAGTCTCTTCTGGAAGCTTGGGTTCAACCTCCCCCCCCCCGCAAGCAGGGCACCTGTGCCTTTTCCCCTCAGCTCCACCAGCAAGGGTGTGTGTGTGGCCTCAAGCATGTCTAGCCACACCCCTTTGTCTTAACCTTGCCCCACGCATGTCTCACCTAGGAGAACCCCCAGACCTGGCTGCCACCAGGATGGCCAAGCAGTCCAAAATGATGCCTTAAGGTCAGTTTCCCCCCTGGAGGCATGGGTCTGAATACCACTCCTTTGGACTTGGGAGGTATAGGTTTGGAATGAAACAGAAATCTGGTGATTTCATTCTCTCTATCCCTTCTCACCTCAAAATGAGGCCTGGAGTTCTTCCAGAATAACAACTGATCTCCACACTACAGAGACCAATTTCCCTGGAGAAAATGATGGCCTCAGACAGTGACTATACCATACAGCCTAGCAGAAACAGAGGTGCTAGAGTGGGCACAGAGGCTGGATGCTCCAGGACTTCTTCTACTATGGTATACCATAGAGACTAGGAGAAACTGATTGATTGTTACCTGTGAAGACTCTAAAGGCCAGCTGGGGACTGAAAGCAGGATGGGACCCCTTCTGTTGGCTGGTGTCCTCCTATGAGTCTTCAGAGTGATAGTTCCTTCTTAACACGAAGAAAAACTTGAAGAGGATTTTGAAAGGTTTTTCCGGTTGAATGAATGGAACATAACTGGAAAGTAACTAGTTACACCAGCACAAATATTAAAGATCAACGGGCTGGTATGACATACAAGAACATATGCATCAAGAAGCCAGCAAGTGATGTAAGGTAGAAGAAATAGTTCACAGGAAGTGATATAAGGCAGGAAATGTAAACTTAATAGTTGCATTTAAGTGAGAGGAAGTGTTACCTTGAGGCCCCGGGGGAGCACATATATGTAGCCATTCACGCATACACCCTGCAACTCCGAGCTTCTTGGTACTGGAGCCTCTATATACACAGATTCCAGGTTGGTGTGGTATTTTCCCATAAAAGAGTGAGAATATCATTTTAAAAGGGTTGACTTTTTAAAACTATAAATGGACAGACTGAAAGCAAGACAGAAAGGGAAATGTGAAAGTTCGTTGACGGTTGAAGCATTCAGCGAGTCAAAATAAAATACTTAAAATATGTACCTGGATAAGTCCTAATTCAACAATTACTAAAATCTTTGATAACTGAGATGCCCAGTTAGGTCCCACTGATGGCCAGTCCATGATGTGTGCCTGTCTCTGAAGAACATGAGAGAAGGAAGGCTAAATGAGAGGGAAAGGGAAGAAGAGGTAATGCAAGGAGAAGGCTTCGGGATCAGAGAGAGAGAGAGAGAATTACGCTGGAGAGATAGACAAAAAGGGGGGCTGGCAGGAGCCGGAGAACCAGGGAACCTAGAGAGGGACATTGGGAGGCTCCATGGCACATACCAGTAGTGGTATCAGAGCAATGGGGAGAAAGAGTATGGAGAGAATTATGCTGGAGAGATAGACAAAAGGGGGGGTTGACAGGAGCCGGAGAACCAGGGAACCTAGAGAGGGACATTGGGAGGCTCCATGGCATGTACCAGTAGCAGTACCAGAGCAATGGGGAGAAAGAGTATGGAGACCATATGCCATAGTGAGAGAAAGAAGGAGAGACCGAGAAAGAGGGGAAAGTTAGATCATAGCTACGAGTCTTGAAGAGTGAACACTGTCTCAGACATGGAGGTAGGTTTGATGGAAAACCTGACCTGGAGTGTATGGCTGAATCTCAGATATTATATACTTAATTTTCTGTCCTCAGGTGGGAGTGGAGAGGGAGAAATCCAGTGATAATGGAGTCAAATTAAATTGTATTATCTGCTAATTGCAGGATTCAAGATACTTATTTCCTTTGCCAATATTTGTTTGGGGAAAAGCTAACTGTGACCTGAGAGTGTGTCCATATTCTGACTAACTCAGAAACAATGATTAGATATTTGTTACAGATGTTTTAGGACTTAGGAGACAAGTTTTTGTCCTAATAATTAATTTAGGAGATTAGGTTGTTTTCTTGTATAAGGACATTTAGCTTAAGAAAATCGCTTTATGTCTTTCGCAATATTTGTCCTTTGTTGTCACACACAATGGCCATTTCTTGTGGCTGGAATATGAAATGATCACAGTAAGTCAGGATTGATTGCTCTTGGGATGAGCTTTCTTGCAAAGGGTACCTGGAAAGCTCGTTTTGCATTTAATGTGTTTTGGCCATTCTTTCCGCTGATCCTTATCAACTTGCTTCTTTCCCTTGGCCTTTTCTCTGGGTATGAAAGCAAGGAGGGACTTTAGCTGCACCCTTTTCTATTTTCTAGGGCAGCCTGAGGCTCTGGATGACTATAGCTGTGCTGGTGTAACAGAAGGGGAGAAGTTGGAGGAGCTGTCCTTGACCTGGGCATATCACAGGCTGTGACATCATATCCCCAAGGAGTTCTCTCCCCTCGCCAAACTCTGTGTGTTTTCCCCCCCACACACACCTTATAAGTGCTCATAAATCACCAGTCATTTCCCAAACTGGAGCTGGCAGCCTTCTGGCAACATCATAGAGGGGTAAGTTTTAGTCTGGGAGGATTTTGTTTATTGTTGATTTTATTTTTTCCTATGCTCTGTGGATGTTAAAGGAAATTATTAGTTTCACTGCATGCTTTTCCATTTAGTAACCAATGAAAACAAATACAAGTGAAATTTTATAAAATTGGTGTTATGGTGGTATGTCTGCTCACACATCAGGGAATAATTTGGCTCATGCTTATCAAGGTATCAAGACAGGGTCCACTGCATAGGTCTGAATTGTTGTTAACCAGGCTTCGCTTACATCCAGGGTGGGTGCTGGAGGTAGCCAGGACAGACCTGAGATCCTTAATTTGAAGAAGAGTCTTTTAAGACACCACAAAAGAGAGTCTAGCAGTACAATCCTAAACAGAGTTACACCTTTCTAAACCCATTGGGTTTAGAAGGGTGTGACTCTGTTGAGGATTGGCACAGTTAGATTATTTTTTTAACAAACTGTAAAATAATAATATCTGTGTTTTATGGGTTCATTATTTTTATGGTTTACTTGTGGAGATCACTTTAAGCAAAATGGAAAAGCAGTATATAAATATTTTAAATAAATAAATAAATAGTAATTCTTAGCTATGACATTAGATTGGGAGGGAAGGCAGTATGGTGTACCCTGTTCGTCAGAACTCAGAAGCTAATTAGGGTCAGTACTTGGCAGGGAGACCTCCAAGAAGAAAGGCCTCTAAGACCTCTAAGAAAGGCAATGGCAAACTACCTTGCCTTCTCACTTGCCTGGAAAGCCCCTTGCTAGGGTCACCATCAATCAGCTACAACTCGCCTGCGCTTTGTACACACACATGACACTAGATCAATTCTTGTTAGGAATCCCAAACCTTGCTAAAAAGTTCTGAGAGTAACAGAAACATTAAAAAGCTGCAAAGAAAACAGGAGATGAACTATGTGTGCAACCACTACAAGGAAGGAAGAAAAGACCTTCAAACTGAAAACCAAGATAAATATGAATAAAACAGACCATCATCACGGAGTGTTGTTTATTAAAATATAATCTCTATAAAGATACCGTATTATACAAATAGAGAGACAAAACATTACTTCTATAGTTACTTGCTGTACAAGATTCAGAGAGGAACTATACATGACTGGCTTTGCATGGCTCCAACGAGACAAGTGGAACGTCTGACAGAACTATTTCTGGCGAAGGAGTTCAGATCTTCAGCCCACAAAAGGTCCTATTTTTGCTTTCACAGCAGAATTTTAGAGTCTTCCAAAGAGTCGTCAGCATACGGTAGCTCATCCGTCAGCCTGCTTCCTACGGGAAGTGTGCTGTCTTGAGACCACAACCTTCCATTTTGAGAGAGGGTGCGCTGAAGCAGAGGGATATCTTCCTCTTCTGTTCTCACAAGACTGGCTATGTGTTCCTCACTCACTCCACTTAAAATATACCTGTCCCCCATCCCATTGCTCTCGTGAACATCAACTGTGACCACTGTGGTCTCTGGTCTTTGGAAACAGGATTCTATGATGTCATGAGGATTGAGGTCTATGTCTATCTGAGGAAACTCAGAGTCTTCCATTGGCTCATCTTCATTTTCCTCCAGCAGATTAGTGTTAATATAAATAACACTGTTTGGTTCACTCTGTTCAGGTAAACTTTCTGACAGCTTCTGCAGATGAAACTTAAGTTCTGAGAAGGCGGGTCGGTCCACAGGATCTACTCTCCAACATGAATACATGATTTCATACCTGAAACAAAAAAGGAACATGCTGAAATAAAGTGCCAAACATCATTAATGGACAGCATCTTTCATCTCATCTTCTCCTATATAATTTATCAAATTGGCTTTAAACCTTGGAAATAACCTTAGTATTTCCTGACCAGTTGTAATTGTGTGTTGGGTTTTTTTTGGCAGACTGCAAAGACATGTAGGTCTAGATACAACTTTTTCCTCTTAGGACATTGTCACATGTACAGTGGTAAACAATGTCTCTAAAGTACAGCCAGTTAACACTTACTGTTTGATTTCTGTAAATAGAAATGAAAAAGCATGTAGGCTAAAAAACCCCAGAAATCTATCCATTTTGCCACTGGCACAGTTTTCCAACCCAAATCTTTTTAACATATTGGGGTAAAAATATCTCAGGAGTCAGTTCAGAAAACCCTAATCCAGGGAACCATTTTAAGTGCTCTAGAGAGCTACAGTCTTTCCTGACAACCTGGAGAATATTATGTCAGCATAGAGGTATTTGTGAAGTAGAAAATGTCCCAAGTAGCAAAAGCATTAGAAATTATTATTTTTATAAAATTCCCTTAAAATCCATGAATTTCTGCATTAGTTATCTAATAGCTTAGGTTAAGACCATTGTTTTTGTTGTTCCCCCCTCCCCACAACTTCCCAAAGGAATGTTACTAGTGTGAGGGAAGGGGTGACAGTATGCAAAGGAAACATTCTGCCTCATGTCAAATTGTGTTTTCTGGATTGTTTTAATACTGGGAAATACAATGATTCTTGTCACCAGAAAAAAACTCACACAAAATTGTGTAGGATTTTTTTGCCCAAAGATACATTGGAATTTGGCTTGGAGTAGACATATATCCCAAATATCGCTGGCATAAGGCTGAGATATCTGTTAACTGCAATATGTGTAAGTATCTTACAATATTGCTGGCATAAGGCTGAGATATCTGTTAACTCCATCCATCTGTTAATATCTTTTCCCTTTGCAGAAAGGTCCAAAGTTTAGTAACAAAAACCTTACTTTTTATTTAGTGGATAGAATACAACATGAATGAAACAGAAAGTGTCTCAGGGCTTAGTGAGATGCGCCTGAGAACCTCCATTTTGGCAAGCAGGATTTGAGAACCACAGTGCAGTAAGCTTTGCCACCCTTAGGATAGGGGTGGTGCAAGATGAACGGGTATAATTCTATTTCCCAGGGGAGGAACTTCCCAAGCACGCTGGTGAAGGCATTCACAGGAGCAAAAAGTCCAGCCAAAGAGCAGCAGACAAAAGAGGGCTCAAAGAGTTCAGCTTTCCAAGATGGCACCATGGTATTCTGCATAACTATAGAATTGCTACAGAATTATTAATGAACTAGGAATAAGGCCCGTTGTGGAAATAAATACAACGAGCTCTAGAAAGAGTAAATAAACAGGACTACTTACAGTTCATCCAAGCAGCCTTCTGGCTGCTTCAACCTGTGCCCATGAAAAAGGTAGTCATAGATTTCATGGTTCTGCACTCCTGGGTATGGAGTCATCCCTCGTGTTGCGATCTCCCACATTGTGACACCAAATGCCCACTACAAGGAAGGAGCGAAGACAAAACATACTCAGACCTCATTTCAGGAAAACTGAATTATCCTAAATATCTGTTCTGTTCCTTTACACAGTGTTGACAACCATGTTCCCAGTATTTAGTTTGCACACTAGGGGGGAAGTGTTTGATATTATTTTAGTGGAACTTGCAACACCTGAATAACTCAATTATGGTAATGTAGTTCCTAGCAACATAGGCAAGTGCACTAGTGGATCAGTGGAGATCTACTTTACAATACATTTTGGCGTAAGAGGTTTATCAGTTTCTTGCTGAAGAGCAACACTACAAGAAAGCCAGTGTAATGAGTGCTGAACTTAGTTCTAATGTCCCGTCAGCCCTGATGCTCACTGGGGGATCTTGGGTGACTCCATGTTTCTCAGCCTAACCAATCTCACAGGGTGTTATGAGAATAAAATGGGGGGGGGTGCACCATGTTTACTGTTCTAAACTTGCTGGAAGAAGAATAAAGCTTTTGCACTTTGAATAACAGTTCCAACAGTTTCTTCAAATGTAGGGGCTCCAAAGTTCCATCTTTGGGGTTCTCCACTAAGTTCTGTAGAGTAGTCAGTTCTGCACATGAATTCTTTGTGCATACAGAGATATCTTTTCCAGTGAAGTGACTAGGGAAACTGGCTTATGCAGGAGCACATGATGTTTGGAGTGCCTAACGTTATGAATGGTGGTGGAAAGTGGCATCAAGTCACAGCTGACTTATGGTGACCCTTGTAGGGTTTTCAAGGCAAGAGACGTTCAGAGGTGGTTTGCCATTGCCTGCCTCCACACCTTGGTGTTCCTTGGAGGAATCCCATCCAAATACTAGCCAGGGCCAACGCTGCTTAGCTCCCGAGATTTGACAAGATTGGGCTAGCTTAGGCCATCCAGGTCAGGCCAAAATTATGAAATAGTGGCTGCTTAATACTCTTATTCCATCATATTTTGGATTTTTACATTGTTTCAATAACCTTCCACCAACAGGGGGAGCCGCAGCAGCAATTCATTACTGTAAGAGAGCTGTGTCTCTGGATTGTCACACTTACCACCAGTCAATTCCTTGGGCCACCTGCTCACACTGCCCTGGAATCTGGTCATGGAATCATGACCACTAGAGGTTAGAAGACACTGCCATGCATGTATTCCTGACACCTTATGTTATATCTGTGTGTTGTATTTTAATTAACTTTGTATATAGTTGGTTGAAAAAACAGATGTAAATATAGTCAATAGTCAATCAATCCAACATACAACAAAGAACTTAATAAGCAATTCCAGGTCAAATGTCTGCCAACATTTCAACCAGCTGTGTTCTTAAAAGAATCTTGGTCTACTTAGCAGATAACTATCCCTGAGCTACAAACAGTTCCACCTGATTCCCTCATATCAAGTTGCTGTCTGTCAATCCTGCACTGTCTGCTGGTCATGCTTCAGCCTATTTTTTTTTAAGAACCACCTCCACATTTACATACCACATCACTTTTTGTTGTGTAGACTCGATCAGCAAGGCTTTCTATTGCAATCCACTTAACAGGCATCTTTGCAATGCGTCCTTGTCGATAATAATCCCCGCTATAGATCCTCTTGGACAAACCAAAGTCTGCTACACACACAGTCATGTCATCCCGTAACCTGTTGGTTGGTTAAGGGTCACTATTAATACGAATCAATTTAAAAAGAATACGAACTATTTGTAGACACAAAATTATGTTATACACATGCTTTAGGAAAAGGCAAAGGTGGAATTACATGGCTTTGAATCTGCATGGCTTTCCTATGAGCATGCAAATTTATTAAGAACTGAGTGATTCCTAATAGAGAATTCTTGGAACCTTCACAAAACCACAAGTCCTAGGTTAATTTGGGAAAGCTGTATCAGTCAAAATGAATTGTAAAACTACTTTAATTTTGTAACTTGTTTGCATCATTACTGATGCTTGGACAGTTACAAAATATTAGCCAAAATATTATTTTGGAATCTCCTGCCATGATTTCAGTAAACACAAGAAAACAGGCGAGCTTCATAGATGCAGGAAGATGCTGGAATAGATTATAGACTACTAGAGATAGGCATGAACTGTATTTTTGTGGTTGGGTTCATGGTTTGTGGCTGAACCATGAACCGAACCACTAACTGATACACCAGTTTGCGAACTGAACTGGTTTGTATTGGTTCATGAGCCATTTAAACCTGTGCTTTCTACTCCCTCTGAAAAGTGGCAGAGAGCAGAAAGCAAGGGGTTAAATGGCTCTGAGCCACTGAAACCAAACAGCTATTTTTTGTGAAGAGCAGAAAGCATGCTCTTCATGAACCGCCACAAACTGCCACAAAATTCATAGACGTTTGTGGCAGCTCTTCAGTTCATTGCTTCACGAACCACAAACCAGTTCTTGAGCCAGTTCATGCCCATCCCTGTAGACTACTGTATGGACAGTAGAATAAGGCAGAGTGGATATGTTTTATTGAAATCTATGCAGAACAAAATGGAATCGATGATTCAGGGCTACTAGAATCTCTTTGCTGCCTGGCTAGACCAAGACCAACCTACACAAAGAGAGGCTAAGCAACTGGAAAAATCTGGGTTTGAACTGCCCCAGATTCTGATACATTGAAACCACCAAAGAACATTAGAAGCATTTGATTTCTCCTTCTGGAGTTACAAACATGGTTGGACTATTTTATTTTAAGGAGGATAAGAGAATTTAGGAACTTACATGCAGTTTCGAGCAGCCAAGTCTCTATGGAGGAAATGCTTGTTACTGAGGTATTCCATGCCCAAAGCTATATCGATCATAAACTTCAATAAAGTCTGTAGTGGTACATACTGGGGAAGAGAATGTGACAAAAATTATCATGATTGTATCATAAAAATAATAAACGTCACAAATAAACGTCACACATTTTGGGTCAGGTGCCAATTGGATTTAAAGCAATTGAAAACTCGATGGGAAACTCTACAGTGATATAATGCTTAATATTAAGGAAACAGGAACCGAAATATATTTCACAATAATTCTATAGGAAGAGAAAGCTAGGTGGCAAAAAATGCAGTTACATATCCCTCTAGTCCCATCATGTGTTACTGCAAGATAACATAAATTTTTACTTGTTATGCTTTTTATCTGACCCCCCAATTAAGCTCAACACAGCTTCCTGGAAGGTAGGTTAGGTGAATATATATTTATAAAATAAAATAAAGAAAGGAATGTGCATTATTCTTGTACCTGAGAGATAGCAGGCCAAGTCAGATACCTCACTACCTTTCCAAGGTGGTAAAAGAACAACAAAAACAGTATGTTCCCTCTACACACACTCTTCCACTAAATATGATGTCCCTTCCCTCTGTCCTTCCATGCATACAGTTAAGTGTATTGGGGATTCTAACCCATGTTGTTGAATGCAGGGTCTTGTTCCCGTCACGGGAGTGGGAATATTTGGGATTTTTTTGTACTTTGTAATATGGATTTGTAAGACTGCCATCTTAAAAACACTTTCCTGGGAATAAGCATAAATGGTTAAAATGGGACCTGCTTCCGGACTATTGGACAAAGGTCCACAGTGAAATGCAAAAGATACTGAAATGCTCTTTTAAAAAAGCGCCTGAAATTCTGCTTTTGGGACTTAAAATGGAAGAAGTCAACACGACGAAAAAAACTTTACTCTGGTACTTAATAACAACAGCAAGAATGATTTATGCACAATTTTGGAAAAATGAAAAAGTACCAGAGACCGAAGACTGGATACAAAAAGTTCTGTTCATGGCTGAAATGGATAAAATTACAAAAAAACTGAATAATAAGGAAGACGACGTATTTTTAGAAGAATGGAGTGACTTTAAAATATATCTGGAAAAGAACTGGGATGTGAAACAAAATTTAATATGT